CTGGTATAGAACAGTAGACCCACATCCATACTCTGAAGCATCTCTATTAATCTATCTTTTCTTGAGAGTTAAACCAGACATCAAAAATACAGAAATCTGAAATAGATGCTAGGCAGTTATTTAAGATGAGCCAGATTTTAAGGTTTATTTGGGAAGATTATTTATCAAATAGATAAATCATAGCATAGAATTAAATACTAACATGAAAAAAATCAAGTTATTCGGAGTTGAAAAGCAAAAAAAAACATTCTCTACTTTAAAAAACGAACATTCACAAGCTCATATTTAGTTTGAGAAGGAGGCTGACAATCGATAATAGTCAAATAAGAGAATATTTTTATGAATTGTAGGCGTAAATTGCAGAAAATAAATCGTCTATTAGCAACCAAAACTGTTATGTCAATGTTTGTCTTTCCTACAAAACAGAAACACAATCATAATAGTATCTCGTCGATGTTGTTGCGTATAGAACCCAATTTCGTTCGAAATAGGTCCTGTAGATGACGCTACTTTTTTTATTTAGTTCATTATTTTCTCTTACATACTGGATAAAAATGTGAATTTATGTTAAACATATTTTCATATAATAATATTTAATAAAAATAAACTTTGATTTTACAACCAACGTTTATCACATATTGATAGATTGTTCTATACTCCAATAAAATTTCTCTTCTATCCTATTGCTTCGATAAGCTATCAAAAAATATCTTCAAAATCAAATTTAAAACTTAAAGATTTTTCTATCCAAAGATGGCAAACTTGATTGATCAATTCTTAATTTAAAAGTAGTTCCTAATATCAATGAATATTGTACGTTTATTTTCGTTTGATTTTTCTCATAATTTATATTTTCAGTTGACTTTACATAAAGTGAAATCAATCGATTTATCAAATAATTAAATTGAATCCTTATCCAGATGTATTCTTTTTTCTTCGTATATAAAATATATATTGACTTTACTTCAACAATTTTTACAATGACTTTATTAAACTTGAAAGTATTCATACATTTGATTTATCAAAAAGTTATCTCAAAGAGTTACGTGAAAATTTTGGTCAGTTAAAATTATTAAAACAGCTCAATTTTTTCGATAATCATATTACAAATTTTCTACTTTCTTTTTCTGATTTAACGAAATTAGAAGTAAAATTGTTATTTTTATATCTAATAATTCATTTTATTGTTTCTATTTTACTTAGTATTTGATATGCTGAAAAAGTGAAAGCTAAAAAACAAGCAGAAAAAGAACAAGAAGAAACACGTTTCAAAATGCTCAAAAGCAAGTGTCAGAAAAGAAAAATCACTAAAAAGAAATCAATGGAAATAATGACAATAAAGAGAATGTTGAAACAAAAAAATGATAATGAAGATCGAACAGAAACATATTGTATATATATAATTTTTAAAAAAATTCGTTTGTAACATTATTTCGATTTATTTTAGTATCACAAGTAATTAATGATACTCTCAATAGTTTTTTACTTGGGAATTGTATCATAATCGCCAACAATCAGTTAAATTGCTTGACTTTTACAAGTACATGTTGATACATAGGACGTCTTAATTGTTAGGAGTTTTTATTTCTTGTATTTTGTGTGTTATGTTGATGAATGAAATAGGAGATCTCTATGATATATGATTAACTAATGTCTTTCTATTTTCTTTTTCGAGATTCTTACCTTTTAGTCATCATGGTACATCTATCATTGACTCGATATGTATGTTACAATATTTATATGTAAAAAAAAAAAGAGAAAGCAAAATATAATTGACATGTTTTATTTAGGCATCTATTGGTTTTTTTGGTATTGGTAATATGGGTAAACATATGGTAACACATCTAATTGCAGCTGATCATCGTGTAACACTTTTTGACACTAATCCGCAAGCACTTGATCATTTTAAAGAACAAAGTAAAGAATTCTTTTTTTTGTTTTTGTATGAAAAATAGATCTATGTTATTGTTTTAGAACAAGCTAAAATAGCTTCTGTACCACAAGAGGCAATAGCAAATTCAGAATTTATTATTTTAATGTTACCTAATGGTAAAATTGTACGTGATTTGTGTCAATCAAATATTTTTCCGTATGATAGATACAAAATAGTTTTCCTGAAGTTTTGATTTTGTTTTTTTTTATAAATTAATTAGTTCGGCTAAAAAAGGTACATTTATTATTGATTGTAGTACAATTGACGCACGAACATCTAAGGAAATGGCAGAACTAGCTCGAAGTAAACAATTAAGTTTTGTCGATGCTCCTGTCACAGGTGGTTAGTAATATATATATATATATATATATATTGCTGGAATGTTTTGATTAATCTTTCAATATTATAGCTACTATTGCCGCTCAAAAAGGTACATTAACATTTTTGGTTGGTGGTCAACCAAATGATTTTAAAGCTGTAGAACCTATTCTCGGTAACATGGGCAAAAATATTGTCCATGTTGGTGCAAATGGTAGTGGTTTAGCAGTTAAAATTTGTAACAATCTTCTCGTAGCTATTAGGTAAGAAGTGTAAAAGAATTATGAATTTATATCATTTTATTGTTTAAGTATGATTGGTACTTCAGAAGCGATGAATCTCGGTATCAAGTAAGCATTTTTATTTTATCTTTTATAATTCTAAACAATCTAATCTTTTTCTTTTTTAATAAGACTTGGTATGAATAAAGATGTATTAGCCAAAGTGATCAATTCTTCAAGTGGTCAATGTTGGTCAAGCCAAACATATAATCCGTGTCCTGACGTTATTCCTAACGTACCATCTAGTAACGACTATAATGGTGGTTTTGCTAGTGAACTGATGGCTAAAGATCTATTAATTGCTCTTGGTAAATAATTTGCTGTTTTTTTTTCTTCTTATTACTAAATCTCATGATCTTTTTTCTAGATGCTGCAAAACAAGTTAAAGCTTTAACTCCACTAACGGAGAAAGCTACTGAACTCTATAATCAGCTTTGCTCAAATGGACTGAATAAAAAAGATTTCAGTGTTATCTTTAAATATCTCAATGAACAATGAATAATTTATACATTCCTTTTTGTTGTCGTATGCTTAGTTTTATTTCAAAATACAAATACACAAAAAAGAAAATAGAAACGAAAAGAGATAAGTGTGGGTGTCAGTGGATGCGGGCGTGTATTTTCTTTTCACCCACACTCACACACATCCGCCCCCTTTAAAGTTATTTCGCAAGTGAACTGAATGGTCAAATCGTATTTATTCGACTATTTTCTTTTTTTTTGTTCTGGAAGATTCACGGTGATTTTTTATTTGATCCAATGGCTACCACTTCGTGTAGCCTTTGTTGCTGTCTCGTCACATTCACTCGCGTTTGACTATCGCTGCAGATATTTTTACCTGCACTAAGAATACTTCGATGTGACACCTGTAGTTTCGCATATCGTACATTTACATATAACGCATATCACTTTTCAAGTCTTACTACTATTCACAGTTTTGATATAGAAACAACCACGTACAGTTCTGACAGGGCATTTCGTTGTAGATACTATATGAATTGATGTTGTTGCAACCGATATATTAGAAGCAGGTATAGTGATTGTGGATGCCGACGTGAAAGCAACAAGTTCAGTTGACATTAACATAATCAGATAAGATTACAAAACAGGAATGTTCAAATGAATGGAGCTGGATTAGTATTTGTGATGCCTGACATCACTAGCTCAGCTGTCCACCGCCAATATAAAAGACAGCACGAGCTTTTATTTTGTTTATTTCGGTCTGTTCTGTGAGTTGAACTATCAACTCAACTCAATCCAATTCAATTAAATTCATCAATTGAATTGAATTGAGTTGTTCAACTATGATAAACAGGCGAAAATATAGATGAAGAATGAGAAAAATAAGGTATTTCTGCTAGTATTTTGCAGTTTTTGACCACTTATCCAGCAGTATTCAGGATTCCAAAAAAGGAAATTTTCGTAACCTTCAATATCTTTTACAAATACGTTGCACGCGACTCTTACCTTTTAATGTGATTAAATGTAAGAGTGATAAATCTTCATAAAGATTATGAGATGCATGAAAGAATACACTTCATTATTGTTCTTATTATTACAAATCACATTACTCTGAATTTAAATTCTTTGACGTCGATGGTTAAGAGATAAAAGTAGAGACTGCGGATTAAACTTGTTTTTCAAGACAGAGAAATCTTTTTCCTAGTATTACATCCACACCCTTACTGTAATCACAAGAAGAAGAAGAAGAAGAAGATATAGGAATGTAACATAGTTCATCTATGGGCGATGTTTATGACGAGCATTATTGTCGAAGAGTAATAAAAGCTTTGGAATCATCAGCACCCTGGATCTCGATCAAAGCGCCTTTGTAATAATCATTGTCCAAGCCAGCTTCATGAATGCTAATCGAGATCTTGCGATGAATGAATGCTTCGCAAAAATCATTTGTCGTAAGATCAATTAGCTTGGCATCGCATTGAACAGGATAGGTCTCACGACAACTTCCAATCTGTAGTTGAAATTTATGTTCAGCGCAGCCACCACCATAATTAAGATTAATTTCAATTGCTTTTGTCTTAGTATTGTAGCGTGCATCTTTAATGTATGGCATGATTTCTCCGAATACCATTGAAAAACAAGTCACAAAAACAGCCATAGTCAAAACTGATTTCATGCCAAATGCTCCTTGTAGCCGACGAGCCATGGGATCGATTTATGTGCTTCTGAAATTATAAATGACGTGAATCAAAAGATTACCGGTGAATCACGGGTTTTAATATTCACACGTTTATATTAATCGTCCAGACAATTTGTTGATGAGATCAAATAAAATCTTAGCACTTGCTCGAGATAGAGATAGAAAAGAAAATCCAAAGGATTTTCAAAATAGTTCGACAAAAATAAGAAAAGATGGCGAAGAAAAAAAAGAACCCATAGAGACAGAAATCAGGGTCAGGAATTGGCGGTTTCTATCTCTTTGCTGCAATATAAAAAAAAGTATGACTCTACGCATTGATACATCGACTAGGTCAATCTCTATCGATAGATTTATTTAGAATATTCAAACTTTTCACGAAGTGAACTTAGGATTTCGCATCTGTTTTGACAATGCATCTAATAATCGTGTACATACAGCGCAAAGACAGCTGCAAAAACACTCATCAATCATACCTTAGCTAATGCCTTCTCCTTGCTTTTTTTTCCTCCTTTTGTTGATTCTGCAAGCGAACGCGTGCGATACATAGTGAAATCAAATATTTGTTTTTTTCTTTTGCACTAATTCTTCTCGTCACTGATTTAACATAAGGCACAATTCACATTGACTCGTACGTTAGCAAGTGTCGTTTATCAGCTTTCTTTTGATTATAAGAAATCGCTGGTAACCAGAGATGGATAAGTCAAGTCATTTTTGGACCTCAGAACGATCGTGACTTCACTTGTAACTTGGTCTTCAAACCAAGTCTAAAGTCCAGGAGCCCCTCAGAAATAAACTTTTTTTACTTTTCATTCGATTTTAGCCAAAAATTTCAGGAAATATTACTATTGGCTAGAATAGATTATGGGTAAGGTTTTCAAAATGAGGGGACAAACTAACATGTCGAGGTGATTTTTAAAATGTAGAGTATATTTAGGACTAGGTTTGAATAGAGCCCATTTGTTTTAATTTCCCTTTGTTTGCTTTTAAAAAAACCTATTTGAAAAAATCCTCAAATTTGTGGCCAAAACAATCGCTCATTAAAATAAAAAATCGAACGAGAGAACATATTCCGGTATCGGAACGCTTTAAAGCCAAGAGTAGGCGCATCTTGTAGAGCTCAGTGAACTATATTTATTCTGAAAAGGATGTATGTCAAAGACCTATTTCCGAGAAGATCAAATACTTTTATTTATAGAGCTTTTAATTCTAAGCATTCTCATTAAAAAAATTTTTTTCAAAACGCTTTTCTTTTCATGGAGATAGGCTCAGAATAATTTCAGCGATAAATATCCAAAAACTCTCAAAAAATGTTTTCTTGAGACTTTCTGATTTTGTACTACTATCAGAATTTTAAAAGAAGGTACCTGGAAAAAAAGCTTATAACTTTCGAACGAACAGTCATAGCGACCTGCGATTTTCAGCAATCGATAGAAGATTATAGGGGACACATTTTTATATAAAAATCAATGTTTAAATAAGCGGTGATTGTGGAATCACTGAAAGAGTAGGCTCGTTATTTGGTGCAATCTCAGCAGAACAAGCTGAAACTTCTAGCATATATAGTCCCACTGTACCCCAATCTTCAGTGAAAATATCATCGATAAATCTTGTAATGACGAGGAATGGTGAGCCAATCATCATCTGGCCTTACATAAGACTCTCATTCACTTAAAATATTAGAAAATGGCCTCAACTTTTGGCTGAATAAATATCATAATCTAGACTTCATATCTATGCAATTATATCATAGTTGGATTAAATGAACGAGAAGAGACGGTGAAAATATTACTAAATTCTGCATTTCTCTTAAGAAAGTTGGAAAGATTTGTTTTAAAATACTTACTGTATGAAAATCATTTCTTCGTCGAATTTTGGCTATTTCCGTATATTTTTACGATCAAAGTGTAATGCTATTGCATAGATATGAAGTCTAGATTATGGTATTTATTCAGCCAAAAGTTGAGGCCATTTTCTAATATTTTGATTGAATGAGTGCCTTATGTAAGACCAGATGAGGATTGGCTCACCATTTCTCGTCATTACAAGATTTATCGATGATATTTTCAGTGAAGATTGGGGTACAGTGGGGCTATATATGCTGAAAACCGCAGGTCGCTATGGACTTTTCGTTCGAAAGTTATAAGCTTTTTTTCCAGGTGCCTTCTTTTAAAATTCTGATAGTAGTTAAAGTGTTTTCAGTCTATATTCATCAAAACAAAAGCGTTTTGAAAAAGATCTTTTTATGAGGATGCTTAGAATTAAAAGCTCTACAAACACGGAAGATTTTTCTCGAAATTGGAGATCATTTTGATACAATATGGTGGAAATATCATGGAAATATCCAGCTGTAACACTAAAAATATTCGATCTTCTCGGAAACAGGGTATGGGTCCGCATCCTTTTCAAGGTAAACATACCGGATGTCCCAAAATGTTCGCAAACATTTTATTTTGTATATATCTTAGCATAAACACTCGACAAAAACCTTGCTTTTTTTCTCAAGAGATGTGCCGTGAAAAGCTCTACAAAAATGGTAATAACGAATCCCTACTAACATGTTCTAATGATTTTTTCTATATTCAAAATGAAACATCTACATTTTATATTACCTTCCACCATATTAACAGGTGCGGCAGAATAAATAGCCATACTTAGCATCAATGAGATTCCACAGGAATTATTCTCTATCAAATCAGTCGTTCAACCAGTTTCTCCTTCTGCTCCGTCCTTTGATTTTGTTGATTAGTTGATTATATTTTATTCTGAAAAAAGATTTCGTGCTCTAAATATTGATATCAGTTCATAGCAAAGCCTGTGTCCAACATGCTACGCTGCTGAATTACATTGGTCCGATTATTTGCAACAATTTTTAATGTTTAGAATATAGTAGTCGAGCAAATCAACCGAATAAATTATATGGGCTTAATTCATTTTTTGGAAACTCTAAGGAGATTTGGAAAAAACTATCAGCTTGGAATTCTAGTTGAAGTGACAATTTTATAACGTTAACACATTTTAAAGAGCATATTTTAATCATTCTTGAAAATAAAAATGAAAAGTAGTCAGTAAATCAAACAGAATGGCACACTGATATACTATCTTCTAGTCGTTGATGTCCACCAATCTCATGTCAGAAACGTCATACAATTAAATGTATCTGAATGAATGATCTGTATTATGCACTCATAATTAAAGGCGTTAGTTACCGGTGTATAATGAAATATGGAAGTTAAATAACATTTAAGCAATCGAACATAATTATTATTACTTCTTTGAAAATATGATTTTTCTATTGGAAAATATCCATAAGAAATAATTCAAAATAGATCTTGCTTTTTTTCTTCTTTTTTTGAATGAGAATATTGAATAAATAAATAATACAATAGAGCAAAATTAAAATTTTTCTTGTTTTATTAGTATAATCTGTTATTTCGTGAAACTTATGTATATTTTCGAAGAAACTAATAATGAGAACGAATTTATATCCTAATTTTAGTAGTTTTCACACCTCCCAAGTTCTTCGCAATCAGTAGATGAGGAAGCAAAAGATTATTGTATACGCCTCCTAGCAACGAAAAATAGAAAAATATGAACAAATTGAATTCAAATTTTAGGCATAAATTAGTGGTGTATCTCAAAATTCGTCCACAGAAATGATAGCTTACTGAGTTTGAGAATCAAACATCATTTTCTGTCGTCTATTGCATGAAATAGGTTATTAATAACAACAATTTTTCAAATGAATTGTTAAGTCATGTATTATTCCTAAGAGACAGTTAGAACCAATGAAGACAGCTTTTAATATTAATACTTCTTCAATTAAAGATGTAATCCAAACGAACATGCCATAGATACTAAATGGAATAATGGTCAAACAAAAAGAAATAACCACTGCTAAATCAAGTTTGGATTTTTTATATCTATGAGATGAAATCTTGGTACATTTGCGCCATATAAAATCACCATCGTATTGATCGCATGATGAACGCGTGCAAGCCACTGTCCATATCAGTAAATAACCCATGCCAACAATTGAAATGCCCATACAAATATAAGTATGATGTAGAATAAACAATGAAGCTTTTGTATGATGCGATAGACACAGTTGACTGTAATCAAATATAGTAATTAAATATGTTGGAAGAATAAGTGAACTTTTTTTCATCCATTGTGAACCAAGCAGTCCAATTAGTTGAATCAAACAATTTTTGTCATCAGACAGGTTCTCATCATCAAGCAAAGTCTCGTAATGAAATCTTTCATAATTCCAATTTTTTTTTCTACATTGAAAAATTGATGAAATTATATCGTATAAAATAATTAAGACAGCTACGATGCTACTGAACCAATAGAGTATAATAAAGAAAAAATTTTGTTCCACATTCTTGCTAATTATATTTGTATAGAGGGTTGTTACATCAAAAGTAAACAGAGCGTCTGATGAACAATTGTCTGTATCATTAAGACTGCTTTTAACGATATAATAATCGGAAGTACTATTGATAACATATCGTATTATATACGAATCACGTTTTTTATACTTGTCATAGTTCTTGAAGTTCACAGTAATCAAGTAGATGGTTAAGAAAATATTGAATAGTATAGCTATCAATGGTATAACTGTTCGGCAGACGAAACTTTCTTTGATATTGCTCAGAAGATCTTGCATAATTATTGAGAAAATAATTAGATAAATACTATGAATATTTGTAGATCATGCCTGATTTTCAAGATTGAAAGAATTATTCATCAATGATCGTGCACGTTACTCTTGAAATGATAATCGTTATTTAAAAAACAAACACATGATATAGTTGGGTATCTTTTCTTGTCAGTCGTTATCTTTGTATTAGTCACTATTATATATATGCAGCTTTTGTTTTATTAATGACACAGTTTATAGAACGATGAAGGATGAGCATAAGAAAAAAACATGACTCTTTTCTTAACAATTGTTTGCTTTAGAATGTGTGGGATTTAGAATGATCACTTGCAATTCTGACCTGTATTGAACCAAATAATTTATGGGGTGTGGGTGTGAATGTAGGTGTGAGTGCCTTCTTCTCTTCATCCACACCCACATCCTGGCAAAATATGTTCCATTCTTATATAATTTATACATATTCTGAAAGAGGATACTCAGGACTACTAGAATATGTGTTTTTTTCAAAAATCGACTTTCGGAGGGGTACTTCCTCTTAACTAATATGACTCAGTAGCGAAGAAAAAAGGAATCTCTTGCTTTTCTTCGCTCTCATTCAGTATGACGAAATAATTGCATATTATTTCTTCATCTCAGCGTCATGAAACGTAAGAACAGTGAATGCTACTGTCATGTGTATTTTTCTTTTTCGTTTATGTATATATAACAACAATCTTGATCGCTTGCGTATTTCGATTTAAACTCAAAGTTGACATGCCGCAGTATGATGTCGCAATTTGTTTATTTTTCTTTAAGTATGACTGGATAGTGCATATCAAGATAAGTGAGCGTAGTTTGCAATACTTTAATTAGATTTTTTTGATAAGAAAGCTTTCAATATAGGTAAGTATTTTATTACCGTTGAAAATAGTTTAGTTTTTCAATCATATGTAAAGCCTTTCTTCTAATTCTTCTGTATAGTTTTTACCGATTTAACATTAGAAACGAATGAATTTTTAGGAATAAAAATGAAAAATATTTTAATTGTTAGTTAAATTAGATAAGTTTCAAACATTTGTTTTCTCTATTTATCAAAGGCGGTTTTCTTTAAGACATAAGACAATTGCGAATATTGATCAACTCATATAGGCATAGAAAAGGGCCCAACACTTGTTGAGATACGTACTGAGCAGATGTTGTTATTATCTTCCATCGAAAAACCAATGAGTGTTTGTAATATCGTTCTTCAGCAGAGAAAAACTTTTTCTAGAATTCATCGAGATAGAGTTTTTAAAGCTGAACCGTATGTTGAGATATTCAATCCTATCTCAACGAGACTAAAAAAACGACGTTCTTTCTGTCTTCTAGCTGAACTAACTGATTGTTAACAAGTTTATAACATTGAAAAATAAACACCGAGAAATGAATTTTTCTTCAAAGGTTCTCTATTTTATTTTATTGTCTGGATTAACAAATATTAAAACAGATAGTAATTATTAGAAAGAATACTCAGGTTCTAAACAGCGAGGATAGATGAATGAGAAATGATATTCGTATATTCGTTGGCCGTTTATTGTTTTATTTCAGTAAGAATTTTTAGCAAAATACATTGCCCTCTAATGACTGATACGTTAAAGTTTCCGAATTTTGCCAATAAGACTTTCATCATTGGCGAAACTCGACTAACCCTATAAATTACTTTGATGAATTTTGCTCGGTTTTTATCTCAACTTACTACATAGCAAAATTAATTTCAGTAGAGAACTGAAGCATTTTATATTTTGTAATTACTGCTTAGCAGATTCGTCTTATGCATTCAAAAATTTATTCAGTCTGATGTCAATATCGTTTATCAGCTCTAGCTCTATACTTAGGACTTTCTTTCTCATCATCAAGTTTTCTAGTTCGCAAAACGAGTGTTTAGTAAATTGATGAAAGACTTATTTATAGTAAAAACAAACTCAACAATTGAAGTTCTGGTCATCGTATAGAAAAATCATTGAAGAAAAGAAATTGAGAATTAAATTCTGTCTTGAATAATGCAACTATCGATGCCTAAGATAGATTTCTGAGCAATTTTTACAATAGAATAGTAGTACATATATTTTTCTGTATGATGCAAAGCTTTAATATTTACTTACCATTCTCTGCTTGTATTGTTTTTCAAAAATGATTCTAGATTTCATTACAATCGTTTGAACTTTTGTGACATGGCAGACAACACATCATCTGTACAAAGTCCCGCAGCATCGTCACCAGGTAACAATCACAATTGATTTCTCAATGATAATTAGAATGAAATCGGTTATTTAATAAAAGTATTGCTAACTTTTCTAGATTTTGTCAAGACTTTCTTAAAAACTGCACTTGATTCTGAATAGTAAACTATTCACAAAAATGTTTTGTTCAGAAATACCATTTTGTTTGAAAAATTATAAGAGTATTGTTGCTGATACGGTTTCTTTCAATAGTCACAAATTGTTCTCATGTCTTTGTAATAGCAACTGTCTTACTGTGAATCATACGGCCCATTAGATAATTAATTGGCATGGCTGATTTGTTTTCGAATTAACTCAATGAGTTATATGAATAATAGTGACACAATTGTTTAATAGAGAAATGGAAATAGAACTTAAAACAAATGAAAGAAACCGTATAAGGACAAATTCTTCATTGATAATTTAACTGAATACTTCAGACCTTCTGAACAAAGAAGAGATCTCTAAATGAGAAGCTGACTAATTTTCTATTAGTCAACGAGATCCATGCCTTTAGCTCTGTCTCGTCATATGAATTCTAAAAAGCCTCCTCTTGACCATTGATCATTTATAAATTTGCTGTTTGAAAAATATTAGTTTCGAAATTTCATATGAATATTTCATTTATTTCTTTTAGAAATAGGATCTGCCGCTGTTGATAAGAGTATCATTGTATTTGATGTAAGTGATTCTTATCTTTTTAGTGTTAGAAATTTTTTTAATTTCAATTATATAAATAGATCAAACCGTGGGATCTTGAAACGGATATGCAAGAGTTAGAGAAAAATATTCGTTCAATCGAAACCGATGGACTCATCTGGGGTGCCTGTAAGTTCACATTAATGTTGAGGACGGAAGATACGATACTATATATTGAGTATATCTGTAAATGAAAAAAAAATAGCTAGTTTCAAAAATACAAAAAGTTTTTGTTACCTCTATCGATCTTAATGATAGAAAAGATGAAATTCGATTGTAAGTTTCACATATTCATCTTTTCTGCATTCGATGAAATTAGTACAAATATTTATTTACTCTCGATCTATTGTTCTTAGCTCAACTAGTTCCAGTTGCATATGGTGTTCAGAAGCTACAAATTAGTTGTGTTATCGAAGATGATAAAGTAATATTTTTTTTCTTTTTTCAATAATAGATATATTTGTTTTCTGCTTGAATTTAGGTTGGCGTAGATTTTCTTGAAGAACATATCATGGAATTTGAGAATGATGTACAATCGGTTGATATTGTTTCTTTTCAAAAAATTTAATTACTCCCTTATAAGCAAGACTATCAGTTTTCTTCGTTTTTGAAATCAACATTGTTTTATTTTCGATAAGTTGTTTGGCTTTTTTTTAATTAAAAAAAAATCAGAAACATATATTTCGTGCTTATTCTTTTGAACAATAAACAAGAACTCTTACAGAAAATTTAGGGTGTGAGTGTGAATCTGATTGTTGGTAAATAGAACACAATTATGAACATCCATACTCACAACTTCGACGAGTTCTACCTAACAATGTATGAATATCGCACTGTTTAAGCAGAATAAAAAAAAACTTCTTCTATGCAAGTCTTACTCTGTGATTATACGACGCTTCTAATTAGGATTGGAATTATACATGCATACATAAGACCTATGTACGCATAGCAGAAACTCCGGTTTTTTAATATTCACAATTACAAGTGTATGCATATATGCATAGTATTCAGTATAAGCCCTCTTGTGTATAAAGCCTGTGTAATCGTGCATTCAACGAAGTATCGAAATGAAAAGCAATGTACGCGATCATCCATTCATCCCATTTGAAAGTGTGCCCTGTAGCTATTTACTCGTTTTTCAAGCGATCGATATGTAGTTCGTTCGATCTTTTGTTATTGCGTCGTTTCACTGTTTGGAGAAATAGATTAACTTATATTTCTTCGATACAAATCAATCTTGCTTTTCAGCAATCGATCTTTGTCACTTGAATTAATCAAAAAATAATTAGTGTATTATTGAATGAAGATAGATGTAGAGTTTCAAATCGCTGACGCATTTCGTGTTATTTATTTGAAATAGAAACACTGTTCGGGGCTCTGCATTGTAATAAAAAGCACAACAAAGGAAAAGTTGGGTGGATGTGGATTACATCAAAGAGAACTGTGCATTAATTTAAGGTGTTTATTTTCTAACATTATTCCTGGATAATTCATTGACGGCTATTCATTGCATTGAATAGCAATGGCAAAGAAAGAAAAAAAGTCTGCCATGCATTAGCCTGCAATCAATTAATCAATCGTCACGATAAACAACGAATTCTATTGATAACTAGACAAAATAGCAATCTCACTATGCTAAGAACTATTATGCTGTAATGCACAATGAATAAAAACTCGTTACAATCCTCACCAACTCAATACATCCTAAGCAAAATATATTATTGTATAGTGAGGGTGATTAAGGTATGGGTGTCAGTTTTTTCTTCATCCACACCTATGCAAAATATTTGCATTAAATTTATATTACTTGATCGATATAGCTTACATACAGTAGTCTTTACCATTGTTTTTAAATGTGATAAAATCAAAGTAAATTGATGATCTGCATTTGAGACGATGTACAAAGTAAAATATTACGAGTTATCAACAATGAAAGAATAATTGTTTTATTACAAATTTGCTGTTCGTTCTTTTCCTCTTGGTTATTATTGATTTTTGTCTCGTAAGTCATCTATCATTCTTTTTTTTATTATTGATTTTGTGCAAAATAACATGACAAGTGCAGAAAAAAATCGAATAAGTTAGTTCAAATGTTCACTTCATTTTGAATGGAGAAAAATAATAATAATAGTTGTATCAACTTAAATCAAATTCATTCGCCATTAACAGTGGAGAATAAACAGGTTCATTATGTTGTCCATTATTTTTTTTTCGCGCAACATACTGGTTGTATAATATACCTATAAATACAAGAAGTATAAGAATGAATACAATGCCGACAACATAGAAAATTGGTGCAAAATCTCTGCCAATAGATTTTGTTGATTTTTGATCATTTGATTCATCATCTACCGGTTCGTCGATATAACCACTATAACGAAAAGTAAAACATGTTATGAAACTCAAAAAACTCATTTGATATTTTCCAACAAAAAAGAACAATCGACATGTTTTCTTATTTTTTTTTTTGTATAATCTTGATTGAATTCCGATAATCGATCTATAGGATAAGTATTAGAAACTTCTCAATCAGTATATAAAATACATAACTCGGGTATTACATAAAATAAAATTTTAAAACTACTCTCTTTTTCTGACGGTTCAAGACTTATCTAAATAAAATTTATAGTTTTACAAGAGCAAATTTGATTATACTCTGCATGTATCATATTAACAACTGACCTTTTTGCTATAATGGCACGTATTTTTCGAATTGGCGATTTCTGACATATTACAGTTGCTACCCGATCACAAGGTATTTCATCACATGAAACAGATAGGTCCGTATCATGTCGAAAATCAACATATCCACAACCAGTTTGTTGAGATTTTAATTGATTCTTTTCCTTTGTTGATAAAGATAATTTTCCATAATATTTACGAAATGTACTTTCACATTCATAGAAAAAAGAATCAGGATCTGATACATTTTCTAAAATATTTTCATTCTTTGTACTATATCTCATAACAGTATGATTTTGATTATTATAAATGAAACCAACATGTGCAATACTTGATGATGTATAACTACGTTGACGTAAAAATAACAATCTTATCATTTTCAATATCATCATTTTTTCAGGTATGAATAACATAGCATTATCACGTTCACATTCAGCTTTTGCATCTTGCCAAGTTGTCTCATGAAAATCTATTTTATAACAATATTGGTCTATAAGATGATATTTTTTATCATTTCCACATGAATAATCTATTGATGTATTAATTGATATCATTGATGGATTATTATCATTAGTCGAAGGAATAATATTTGAATCAAATTCTATATGTTTATCAACACAAACTGGCATAGCAGACTTAGATGAACATTCATTTGATTCAGTAAAACAACGTTCATAACTTGTTGTATTTTCAATTAGAATTCTTTGATAACGAAGAAGAATACAATTTTGATCAATTGATTCTGATGTTTGTGAACATCTTCCAATAGGATGATCTAATGTTATATTGTTATTTATGATATTAAATGTACGATCAATCCAAAAATATTTTTTATTATCAAGTGGATTTGAATAAGAATAATATGATGATGATGAATAGCTTAAGATAGTATAGAAAATGAAAGCTGAACTGAGTAAAACATCTTGAATTTCTAAAATATCATTCATTTTTGCAAGTATACCACCAATTGATTTACAATATGATTGTGCTTTGGAAAAAGAATTTTTCTCTATCAATGTATTTGTATACACACATCTTCGTTTATCTTTCTCTAATGTAAAACCTAAAAAACTAATAAAAATTTCTTATTTTCTGTTTTTATCAATAATTAATTTTTAATTTATATTCTCTTACCAGTAGGACAATTTAGTTCCATTACATACATTGAATATATCGATGAATTACTTGTATTTCCACATGTATAAAAATAATTAGCTGGACATTCTCGAGTACAGTTAAAATCGAGAGATGGATAAGGATCATCTTGTTTTTTTTTTAATGACACATTAGTACATAAACATTTATTTGAATTAAGAAGAGCATATTTTTGTTTATAATTAGTACATAATTCTAAACAATGACGTGGATGAATATCATTTGTACGTTTAAAATTGAATTGATACATTGTCGATGGATTTACAGAATTTAAATTTATACAATCATCAAAAATAAAGTCAGGATTTGGTTTATCTAATTTATTTCGCAAGGCGAATCTAGATGAAAATAGATAACCAGAGACATAAAAGATAAAGATTGTATTTTCATCACCACAGCGTTCATGTTTATTACCTAAAAGTGTAAAATAACAAGGTCAAAAAAAAAAAAAGAAGAGAAGAATTATGAATTTATATCTTTGTCAATCAGATATATTTATAAAGGTAGATGAGTCTATTAACTATGAAAATTATCGATAATAATAATGTTTATAATTGATTCTATTAGGTTGGTAGATTCTGAATCAAGATCGAGAAAAATATTAATATTTATTGCTGAAACATACCCGGACAAGGATTTCCACAATCATATTTTTTATGTTTTGAATGATTTCGTGTGATTTCAGCTATCCATGTAAAAGCAGCATTGAAACAATAACATTTATTCATATGAAGAACACCTATATTTGTTTCTAATTCTTTACAAATAGATAAACATAATTCAAACGTTAAAAGATTTGATATCATGACTGGTACACCAAGTGTTAATGGTTTATGAAAACAACCTATTTCAAAATTACGAGCTATTATTGGTTTTGTTCTACATAAAACATGTCTTGGTTTTGAACAATTATTGATTTGAATATTATTTAAAATAGAACTTTCTTTATCGTCAATCATTGAACGTGTAAAAACTAAACATGAGTCATTTTTTCTAGTTAAATTATTTATTACATTCAAATCAATCAATTGAAATTCATTCATAGATGAACGATTAATATTAATATTGGATCTTAATAATGGTATATTTTTATCATCTTGATCTGTTGATTCATTACTTGATATGTCTAAAAGAAAATTATATTAATATTTATTGAAAAAGTATCAATATTATGTTCATTCTCATTATGTTTTTTAATCACATTTCTATCAGAGACTTTACTTGTGTCAAGTAGAAAAAAGCCAAGACGACCTTGCCAGTGTGATGTATATTGAACGATTTCACCTTCAAGTAAATCACTGATATAATCCTTGAGTTTATTATGTCTTTCCTTCTTATCATTATCATCATCATCATCATCATCACTAAAAACAATACGTGCTATAAGCTCTTCATGTCTTTTACTTTTTTCAGCCTCGGATACAGTAATACAACTATTTCTTGCTTCTTGTATTGTTTTGCGTTCATCCGATATTTGATAACAATATCCATTTAAATCAAGCCAATTCATTGGGCAATCATACAGTATTTGATTCATACCAGATGTATAGATTGAATAACTTTCAAGATGATCAAATAACGGATCCTTACTTATTGAATATGTTATACACAAATGATATGATAAACTATATGAAGACCATGAATATGAACCTACACGTAAACAACCATTATCTAATAAATATTTGGTATTAAAAAAACTCGAAATGAAATAGCTTGTTTCAGAAGAATTTGAATTTTTTGTTGTTGTTGTTATTGGGCATTTCCATGAAGGATCAATAGTAACATCATCATCAAAATCTATTGTAACAATCGATTTCGTTAAGTTTAACTGTTCAATAACTTTAAGAAAATTATTCCATGTTATATTTCCATCATAAACATACTTTATCGATGATGATGGACATGATTCCCAAAATCCTTTATATGTAGACATACATTCTTTTAATTCTTTTATGTAAATAAAATCAATTGGACATAAATCAATTAATTCATATATAGCCCATATACGTGAATCGTTTAATGAACCACATTTGAATTGATGTTCGACGTTTGAATCACCTAATGTATTATCACAATAACGATTACAACTGTTATTTGGTAAAATTGTTAAATAAAGTGTACGATCAGAATCGACATTTAATTTCTGTGGCATTATGCATAAACATTGATTGTTATCACTGTTGAAAGCTAGAAGAAAGATTTCAGTTTTTTTTAGAACTTTTGTAATTGAAATATACCTTGAAAATTTAATAAGACTATTTTCTAGCATGAAAAGAATTGTTTCAAAGAATCAAGAAATCATCAATATTAGTAGTAAGGATCAACTTCGAGAAGTCTATAAAAGTATTTCTGATCAGTATCTACTGTATTACGTTGACAATTTTTAATTTAATGAAATTATTAGGATAGAAAATAGTGATTAAAAAAGATATGAAAATTCTCTGATGACGATTCGTTTTTTAAATGTTTCCTTTACCTATTGATTTTGTTGTCACTTTTTGATCTAAACATGCACCTGCACATCGGTCCAATTTAGTCAATGATGATTTAACAGATGATTCATCAATTTTAACTAGCAATGTATCATAATAACCAGAAGTATTCCAAAATTGACATGATGTAAATTTAATTCGATACTCAAATAAATGAGCATGTCGAGTATAAAATTGATATTCAGCATAAGCTGAATATGTTTCCTTACCACCACATGTATTATTAGTTGCTTTAACTTGACGATTACCTGGTGTTGGACATGGTATTGTACAGAATATATCTCTCTGTCGACTATGATCCATAAGACCACCACCTGAACATCGGCATATTTTGTCTTGTATATAAATAATTGATGTTTCACATAAACGAAAACATAATGTTGGTTCCATATATGAACTTGTAAAATAAGTATCATAAAAAATTTGTGTATAACAACCCACATAATAATATGAACTGTAGGCTGTATTTGTTATTGAAATCATAATCAAAAGAGAAATCACTTTTGAGTCACACATCATATTTTGAAATCGTAGAAGTAAATGATTGATGAAGAGAAAAAAAATCGAAAATGTTTCTAACGTAGAAAGCAAGAAAGGAAATATGAGATGTAGAGTAATTATTTACTATCAAAACATTGATAATAGAAAATAAAAAAAGAGTGCTGACCTTTTGTTTTGTTTATCGATATTTGATAGGACAAGTTATGAATATTTTGTTTCGATGAAGTGGAATTTTACTCTGAAAACATTGTTGTATTTCCTATGTAATATTGTATCATTCAATAGACATACAATAATGTAGTACTTAGGTAATCGTTTTTCGATCGTGAACACATCCCTGAGTGTCTATGACTTATGCAACTTGACGCTTTGGAACGCATCGAGAATGAAACATTTTCGAATCTCTGAACGCATTTACAGTGGGCAAACGCGTCTCTCTTTGTTCCAATGCTAACAGTATCACAACTCGTTTATGTCAAAAGACACGTTTGAACGCGTCCAAACGTCTCTCTTGCACACGGATTACGACGCGTTTATTTTTCGCTCCCAAAAAATTAAAAAATAATCATCACTATGTGTCGGAATCTAACCGACGCACTATAGCAAGCTTTGATATAACACTCAGATCCTATGAGCGACAGAGTGATAATTCTTCTAATCACAGCTTGAACGAAGATTCGAACACAACTAGCTCTGAGCTAAACACAGCTCGAACTTGTTCCCATGTTTATTAATTGCATCATTAGCTCGTATAATACTACTTGTTGCAACATTGCGAATAGAGCTGTTATATTTTTATTTCGTGAAATAAATATAAATAATATATTTATCGAAAAGAATCAAGATAAATATATTCCTGATATTTAGAAGAAAATTTAGGGTGTAGGTGTGTGAATGAGAATGTAGGCATGGGTGTGAATGAGAATGTAGGCATGGGTGTGAATGCGGGTTGTCGGTATCAGTATGAATAGATGTGTCGAGATGGTACCCACACTCTCTCTTGTTTAGCCCGTGCTGGAATTCACAAAATATATGCAATGGTGCAAACAATCTGATACACCCATATCAACATCATCTACCGTGTTATTGGGAATTTTTTTATGGAATGATCTCGAGAGACACAGATGTAATGCATTTTAAAAAAACAGAGCTTCGGAAAAAATCATTAGTAGGAAGGCAGAAAGTAACTATTCATATGTTTCACTGAGCCCTAGTGCGCAGAGAGCTAGAGGATCCGTTAGAGTGAATGGTAAAACTTTGCTCTGTTGTTTGGCAGATTCACCGTTTTTTAATATGTGTTGTCGTTTAAGACAGAATTGAAAATGATTTGAATATTTTTTGCAGAAAGAGAACATACACTTTTCTCTCTTTCCACTTGCGTGTTCTCTCTCGTTTACCCTCTGAGAATTTTCTTCCCACTCTGTGAATCTGCCGACAAACTAATCCAATTTGTAAAAGTCGTACACAGTACTTGGGTGACTGTCTGTTGGTAGGTCAACTTGCGAGAGAAAAAGTAAACTTAACCTTGCAGTCCTGGAGAAACGCCAAAATGATGCAGTTATTTTAATTTTCGCCGAATGAAATTATAATTCAAAAACTACCGGCTTGAATATGATCCTTTTTTTACTTAAAATTTTACTATAATCAATTAGGGTGTGGGTGTGGATATCGAACATTCATTCGTCCACACTTCACACGCACCCACACCTACACCCTCACTCTCACCCACACTGACACCCACACCCTGATATGAAAAAAACATCACGCAAACTTTACTCTCCTTGTTTAAGAGAAAAATTATTTCTAAAAGAAAAATAAAGACTGATGCTGCACCTTGGCCACAAAGCGGTTGAAAGTTTTCTCATTAAGCTTTCACGTTAAGTGGAAGTTGCATTGAATACTCCAAACTCGAATCTCATCATCGAACACGTTTTCAAAAACAGACTTTTGCCAGGTTCTACTTCTATGAACTAGTTCTTTTTTATGATAACTATGTCTGCTAACTAGTTCCTTTCTGAAGAACTGAATGATTGAACACCTGATTTTTTTCTAGTTATAAGACCTCGAGTCTTATTCTACAATATTTGTGCTTTTCAGCTATACATTTTGGAACAGATAACAATTAGGTGTTCATTGACACCAGTCATTGTAAAAATAACTACCAGTGATGACCACTTCCTTTAATTCTTTTGGAATTACCACACGTCTATTTGTACATATTCACTAACCGAACAACAACAATACACATATTCAATTCCATAACTTTTCCTTTTAGCTCAATCGGAACCGAAGAAATACTGCCATCATTGTAGCCATAGAGATCAGCAGCACTCCTAGCCCTTCCGCGAACGCGTAGTATCCTCGCGCTATGGGTCTGATATTGCAGGTCAGTGACCTGGTAAAAGCACGTCTATACCAATGCATATTCAACATAACATATGATGTGTTCAGCACTTCACTGCGACGCTACACATATTATCAAAGTAAATCCTTATCGAAATAGTAAATTATAATTTATAAATATTTTTTTCTGCTTTTCTGCCGTAATTATAGGATTGTCCTATCTCATTTATAAATTATAATGTATAAAATGTTTTTTTCTGCTTTTCTGTCATAATTATAGGACTGTCCTATCTCATTTATAATTTATAGTTTATAAATTTTTTTTTCTGCTTTTCTGCCGTAGTTATAGGACTGTCTCATCTCAATTGTAAATTACAATTTATAAAATTTTTTCTTGCTTTTCTGCCGCAATTATAGGAAAGTCCTATATCATTTATAAATTATAATTTATAAAATTTTGTTTTCTGCTATAAGCAAGTGCCGGCTTCATTTTTTTTCATTTATTTTCGAAGTGATGTTAGGCAGTTGATGCTTCATTTATATTATAACTCGAATTAGGCAGCTCATGATCTTTTGGTATATTACAGTGCTATTTTCTCATAAGAATTGGATCTGGAATACTCGAAAAAAGAAACATTTGTTTTTCAATCGAAAAACTCGATTTTAGAGTTCCAAATTTTGGTTGTCAGTAGCAAAGTGAAGGTTCACATTCTGGAACTCTGAAAATTTGTTTCTGAGAAAAACTTTTTACACTCTTTCAAACTGGATAGCCAGCTTTGAAATAAAAGATTTTTCGCTATTCGGTTTGAGTGATGGTTTCTTGGACTGTCTTTTAATCATATACGAAAAAAAGCTCTATCAAATAGAAATATTTATTTAATGTACCACTCAAAATGAAAACAATAACATTTAGCATGTATTGAATGACTGTCCACATGGTGAACAAAATTTGCCTGTTAGATCTTGTCTTGATGTACCACATCGAGAACAAAATTCTATAGCAGACTGATCAGAATATGGTGGAGGTGCTGTAATATTATGTCGTCCAATAACCGATGTTGGATCAGGAACATCTTGATTAGAATAATATACTACACTTTCGGAAGCAGTAGTGCGACCAATATCGATAACTAACTGAAATAAACAGTAGAAATTCATTAATGCAAAATTATTCTAAAGTTTATCTTGATAGTTGTTTTAAAATGATAGAGCACATAAAATGAAGATGCTTATAAAACAATAACACTTACATGATAACCTAGATGATTGTTACGATAAATTCCATATCTTCCAACAAAATGTGTCATTGTATCTAATCTCCAACTACATGGTATCGGTGATCTCGATGAATATATCATTGATTCTTTAGAAATTGCATGTCGCATTCGTCTAATACGTTGAAGTTTTATTATATAACATCCAATAATCAAAAGAATGGATTCAGAAATAATCAAAATAATTCCAATTGTAAGAAATTCATATGATAAATGATGAAATATTATTATTCCAACCATTATACTCAAACAGAAAATAATTGAAAGAAATATTAAAATTTTGTTTGATAAAATTGTACGATTAATTCTAGAAATTGATTGATGAAAATCTTCTTTACTAATTATTCCATTTAAATGAATTGGATATGTTGAATCAAATTTTGATTTACAACATCCAACTACAAGATCAAGAGTAAACATAATATCAAATAGAAAAAAAACAATAACTTACTACTAATCATTGGTATATGTACTGAATTTGGATATAATGGAACTGTAATCATTTTTTTTCTCTTTAAATCAAACTAAAATAAAGAAATATCATTAATCAGAGAAATTTCAAAAAAGTTTCATAGAATCTATGCAGCAGCAAAAAAATGAACGAAAAAACATCAGTTTATCTTGTTTTTTTTTATATGTCCGACGGAAAAACAAGTTAGTTAATACATTCATCATGACGTCATGTAACAAAAAAAAAACAGAAAGATAAGAAATAGGACATGTTTTATACAAAGCGATATTTTTTCTTTTCCTTTGCGATGCAAACGACGAATGAATATATATGACAGAATCTGTTAATTATTTTTGTATCAACAACAGTGGAGGAAAATCTACTGTCTCTTACACATGAGGAAACGCTGATTCATCTTTATCGTTCTACTATTATAGAATGCCATCGATGAGTAAGAAAATCCATTTCTCTGTGCCTATAAGAAAAAGAATTCTGTCTCGCATGGATAACATGCTTTAACAGTAGAACGATAAAAATGAATCGCAATAACTCAGCGAATGAGTGCATCACTGCTATTTTCTTCATCTCTCATGATTTTCAGAAGTAAACCAAACTTGAGTTCATAGTCTGTGATTCATTCATATTAGCTATAATATATAAAACATTCTCGATAGATGTCCTTCTGTGATTGAATTGTATTCATGGTATTCAATCATTATTTCCTTTTCTTCTCTTGTGATCTTGCGAATTAGCTAAAAATCAAACGATATTGATTCTGTGTGATATGACATTTCTAACAGCGGCAATGCATGATAAAGGGTGTCCCAAAAGTTTCGACCCCTCTCAGTAAAATCAATAATAACTATATCAAACTTATATGAAGGTATCGATCAAATTATGTCATTTTGTAGAGGAAGAGAAGAGCTATCATCTGAAAAAAACATAGTTCGAAATACATATATTTATTACAAAGTTATAGTCATTTTACTAATTTCAAGTGAAAATTTTTACGTTGTATTTTTTGAAAAAACAAAAATATTCTTATAATACTTGAAGTGAAATATTATTTTCCAGACTTTTTTATATAGTTCGATAGAGTTCGTCAAGCTCTACAAGAATATGAATATCAACAAGTTTGCTGATCCTGTTTCTGGTGCAAAGCTGATAGAAAAGCAGAAAGACTAATAATAAAAATCTCATATATCATGCATTAAAGAGAGTATGCTTAACTTTCAATAACTTGAGTTAATTGACTATTGATCTGTTTCTGAAGTTTGGAAACAGTATTTTCACCTACAATACGTAATAAAGTATCTCGAAACATAAAATAATAGACTGAACAGTCGATCTACCAAAGTTATTGAAAGTTAAGTATACTCTGCAATGCGTCATATGCCAGATTTTTATTAGTCTAGCTGCTTTCTTTCAAGTTTTGTATTGAAAAGAGAATCCGAATTTTTTTGGATGTCCATATTCTGGTAGAGCTTGTCGAACTCTACCGAATCATCTAAAAATATCTACTGAGACAATGTAGAAAATCATATTTCGATTGACCTTGATGACTCACACATTGCAAAAATTTTTTTGTTTTTTCAAAAACTACAACGTAAAAATTTTCATTTAAAATTAGTAAAATGACTATAACTTTGTAATAAATATATGTATTTCGAACAGTGTTTTTTTCAGATGATAGCTCTTCTCTTCCTCTACAAAATGACATAATTTGATCGATACCTTCATATAAGTTTGATATAGATATTATTGATTTTACTGAGAAGGGTCAAAACTTTTGGGTCACCCTTTAGTCATCGATAATTTGGTACGTATTCGATCGTTCGAACAGCAGCAATTAGAAAACGATCAAATCAAGGAAATTATCGTCATGGATGAAGTAGAGCGTGTCGAACACATCAAAATTCGAAGTCTCTCATCAATATTAAAGACAATGAACAAGACCGATATACGCCCATGCCCCACACTGGATCCAGACAGTGTTGCTGCATTTCTTTTGACAAGCGGAACAACCGGTGAGAGAAAAGTCAATGCATACTTTTTAAACCAATGCTAGAACTCACCCGAGAGATTTCATTTTGTCAACGTAACATTGAAATAGATTTGCTTTTAGTAGTTATGAAACTTTTCTCAATAGTTCCAAAGTCAACCATATAGGACTTCTGGTCACTCTAAAGTGAAACATAAGAGATATGCTCAAGCACGCTGAGTCACAAGATATCAGAATATCAGTTTGGCATATCTCTTTACAGCAGACAATGGATTTTCCAAAGTTTGACCCAGTGAATTTAGATCGCTTTGAAAATCAAAGTGAGATCGCCAGTCGATGTAGCATGACTAAATATCACTCTAATGACTCTTCTCAAAAGAGTCTTCTTAGGATGACTATATAGAGATCTCGTAGCAGATTTCAGACCTCTCAGAATTGTATTGAAAACTCAAATTAGCAATTGAAAGAGTATCTTCATAGACGTTTCTATATTACGTCAAAAAAATTGCGAAATGCATAGAAATTATCTGAGACTTGTTGCAGGTGAACCGAAGATTGCCATGTTAACCCACAAAAACGGTATTGCAGGAGTGAAAGCTACAATCGATCGTGAAAAGAGAGCAAATATTTTTTCAAATTCCTCGTATCGACATTGCTCGTTTTTGCCCATGGCTCATTTCTACGAACAGGCCGCATCATTGCTCATGTTTATGAGTGGCTCTCAAATTATTTGTTGTTCAACACCTGAGAAGATCCTTGAATATTATGCCTTGGTGAAACCCACTCGTATTTTTATGGTGCCTCGTATTTTGAACAAGATATATGATAAAGTTTTGGATGAAGCTGCGAAAAATAAAGTAAAAAGATTTCTTGTGAATCGGGCATTATACAAAGAAGAATCATCATTTCTTTCGCGTATTATTTTTCGAAAAGTCAAACAACTCTATGGTGAAAATGTGTCAGTAATGGTATCGGCATCTGCACCGCTTTCACGTGATGCATTACATTTTTTTCGTATTGCAATGGATATTCCAATATATGAAATTTTTGGACAAACAGAATCGTCCGATGTTTGCAGTAGAAATCAAACTGATCGATGTGCATGGAACGAATTATAGAAGTGACAATAATCAAGGTGAAATCTGTATTCGTGGACCCACTGTTTTCAAAGGCAAGTTCTATTTTATTGGGAAAGGTTTTATCTGGTGTCCTTGGTTTAGGATAGTATACCACAAAAATAGTATAAGATAATTCAAGTCAAATTTATTCATCTTTTTTTTCTTCGATCGATAGACTAGGAAGAACACATAAAAGTGACCTATTGTTGACGAGCTGTTGATAGTTTCTGTGTCGACACCTATCAAAAGAAAGTGCGTAGTGAGAACTATATAACGATATGGGTGAACAAGTTAGTTGTCCACTCGAGTCTTTTTTTCTACAACATCTCGATCAACAAACTAAGTCACAACTCATATGCAACTCAACGAGCTATATGTAACATTGTACTTTTAGTCAGATCCAACAAAATCCGTTACGAACTGTTAGAATCGGTCAGATTCCATGCTTTGCAATAGAAAAATAAATCAAAATTGTTGTCATATATTGAATGACTTATCTATGACAGCATGAGTATGTGGTCGTTCGATGTAGCTCGAGAAGCTCATATCTACTATTAGCATTTGTCCAAGTATGAAGCATTTTCATATACTTCGAATAGTTCAAAATAGCTTCAAACTTTTGAATTCTTTGAATAGGTTATTACGGTGATGAGACAAAAACAAAAGAAACGATTGACGAAGGAGGCTGGCTACATACAGGTGATGTTGGTGAGTGGACAGTAAGTGATACATTACGGATCATTGATCGTAGCAAGCACATTTTTAAGTTAAGTCAAGGCAAGCATATTGCACCTGAATGTCTAGAAGAAGTATACCTTTGTTCTCCATGGGTTTCTCAAATCTTTGTTGATGGTTGTTCAATGCAAGCAACAGTAGTGGCTATTGTTGTACTCGATGAAGAATACACTCGGGAGAACTTTATTTCGACAACGGTCAAAACCTTCGAAGAGTTATGCAAAAATGACAAGTTAAAGCAATTGATTATGACTGATCTGTTTCGCTTGGCGAAAGAAAATAAACGGAAATGCTTCGAGACAGTGAGCAACATTTATATGCACCATGAGCCATTTTAATTCACTCTATAGTGTTAGCGAGACAATGATAAGAAGCAAAAAATAGAAGAACAATCATATTTGTAAACATCGCTACCATACACTTACGACTCTGATTTTATATTTATTATCATTAATTTTGAATATAAAATTCAGCTTTTGTATTGCTATAGCACAGTTAACATTTATCAGAGACCCATTCAGTTATTTCTAGATTGAAAGACAATGAATTGTAAAATGAGTGAAGATGTGGATAAAACTGTGAAAAGTATAGCTCTAACAAGAATCAAGAGATGCCAATCAAGGAGAAAGCCCAGTTTTTTTTGGACTGCAGGATTCCAAACTAAGTCAAAATACCAAGCAATTAAAATGATCAGAGCGGATTTGAAAAGAAAATTAGTTGATAATTAGATAAAAGATACATGCTTTGAGACTGGAGAATATCTTACATATATTTCGAAGAATCAATTTTGGTTAATGACAATCAAAATACTAAATTTCTCAATGTATTTGTTGTATTCTTATGATACTAACTTATTTCTGAAGCCATCGTCTTTCTAACCTACTAACAAGTATGTGTCAATATACGTAGCTCTTTTTTACGGAACGTGAGAAAAACAAACGATGTCACGTTTGTGAACAAAATCAAACTCATGTTAACGACCATGAATTTTTTTTTATTAGGTCTACCATTTTTACTTAGAGAAAAATCACACATGTTAGCTGGTCCTAACATGAATTAGGTTTTTTTACTAATACAATTTTGTCTTTGATCTGGATTTCAATTTATCTTGAAACGGTTCGTTAAATCAAGTAGACTAAGCCATCGAGTTTATTAATACGTGTGGAGCTTGATGAACTCTACAAGACGCAAGCATTTTCTTCGCAAACTTCAAAAAATAAAATGGTTTGGGGTCGTGTCACGCTTTGTTTTTTTTGTCGGAGTCAAGCTGGACTCGATGCGGTCTGCTGAATACACTATTTATTGTTTCTGTCGAATTACCACTGTTGTTGACCACTTTCACATAATTGCTCAGCATGATTCTCGGATTCTGTCGATATCAGTTGAAAAGATCCAAGGTCGAAATCAACTTGTTCATGATTCAAATTCGTTTTCATTGTGAGTCAGTTGGATGAGACCTCGATTTGTGTTTCTGTTTGGTTCATTGTGCATTGACTAGGGTTTTTTCTATTTTTCATTTGCTGAAAAACTTTTACTAATTTAATTTTTGCTAGAAGCGAACGATGCCTACAGTGGGATAAACGATTATAGGCATCCTATATACGTCTCATATACGATCTCCGTTTTTTCTTCGTATACGAGTACGAAAATTTACGATCGTAATATTAAGTCAGATAAAACAGTCAAATACAATCGTATATGGATCGTATATCATCTGTGTATGGTCGCTTACGATCGTTTATCTCCTCCGTACGTAGTTAAGTGGTTTGTTGTTGCTCGTATAGTTTGCAGTGAGGTGCGCGCGTTGATAAAGGAATATAGCTTCATACATTACATACACACATCGTTTGAATAGAAATTTGAATAAGCTTGAATGTGTGACAAATAGACGAGCCGCGCAGATTCGACGTATAGTATACACGCAAAGCGTTTTTGATTCGATGATATGACATCAACGCAGCTATCGAGTGTGTGCATGTCAACTTTTTTCATATCCATACTCTCAAAGAATTTTTTGCTTCCTCTACTCTTTACTTCCTTGCCATATTCATTTCGTTCTCTCATTAGAACATTGAATACTTTAAATTAAAAAAAAACATAGTCAGATATTTTTCTCTGGTTTTCTTAGCTATATTTCATGCATTGCTCAAGAAACACACAGGTAGATGCACAAGACAATACCTTAGTCACATCACTACACAAAAGCAATCAGTAAGAATATGATGTATCTTGTCTTGCTCGAGTTTGTCTACCTCTTTTCATGTGTACCATTAGAGATTCGGCCGTATTAAATTCAATCTATCCATGGCTACGATTGCCACCGACACCTCAACTTCCTCTTCCGCATGTCGGTCAATATGCACTTGTCAATGGCATCCGTATATGGTACACGATTTATGGACCAGCCGATGGCATCCCCATTCTCTTCCTTCATGGTGGCTTCGGTAACAGTGATTACTGGGGTTTACAAGTTCAACAACTTCAATCTACTTACAAGTGTATTCTAATGGACTCTCGAGGCCAAGGTCGAAGTCCATTGCCAGCTGCCAATATAACCTATGATCTGATGACTTCAGATGTTGTCGGTTTGCTGGACTACTTAGGTATTAATCGAATCCATCTGGTTGGTTGGAGTGATGGGGCAATTATTGGCCTTAATATGGCAATGAAATGTCCTCATAGATTAATTTCATTATTTGCTTTTGCAGCAAACTATGATTCTTCTGGTGCGAAAGATATTTTTGCAACACCTGTCTTTCCTGCTTATCTCACACGCAGTAAATGCGAATACGAACAATTGAGTCCAGTTAAAGACTATCAAGATTTGTACAATAATTTAACAACAATGTGGTCCACTCTTCCGAATTGGTCAAAAACAGATTTCGACAAGATTCCTCATGATTTGCCTGTGTGGATCGTTGATGGCGATCACGACGAAGTCATAAACAGACAACAATCGGACACGATGGCTACTTGGATCCAACAAGCAGGAGAAATGATCCTACCGAAAACTAGCCATTTCGCGTTCATTCAAGATCCAGAAAATTTTACTGCGGCTGTGACAAGATTCTTGACTGAGATGCAACATTTATAAACAGTAGCTCATAATCAAATATCATCATCGTGCTTCTATTAAATATGGACATCATGCGTTCGTAGTCTTATACAGAATATTTCATACTAACGCTATTAATAAATGTGACTATTCGAGGGTGTGGATGTAACTATTGATGAGACAATAGGTTTTAATAGTGTTCCTTTCTAGTAAAATAGACTGAATCAGTTTAAAAAATATGAGTACACATTGAATTACTTTATGGGTTTTAGGAATGAAATATAAATAAGCCAGCTCAACTTTTTATTGTTTTGACATCATTTCATCAAGTTACCAGAATAGAATGCGTTTTTTTCTTCGAACGAAGATCATTGAGTAAGTGAACAACTTTATTGATTACTTGCCATAATGGAACAGATTCTAATTTAATATAAGCTATAATTTTTTGTCGATAAACTTCTGTTTTCTTTTCATAATCAGTTGCACGATCAGTGTGAAGAATACCATTCTTATCTATAATTCGAACAATATATTTTCCTTTCTTGCATCTATGTTGAATTGATTTCATTAAATTGAATTCTTTTCGAGCACGATATATGTTAAGATAAGATGATGGAGTCATATCTAGTTGATGAAAACATGTTCCTAATTGTTGATAAAATTGTTTTATAATTGCAAATGTATTCGGTATATAATGAACACGAAAAAGATAAGGTATTATCACGTCTATAATATTCTTATGTACTTGTTGTATTTGTTTTTGTCGATATTCATAAGAATGAAGATAACTTTGATTTAGTCTGACATAATGAATGGCTTATAATAAATGGTCCAATTTTGTACTTGATATTTATAGGTGTCTGACATGCTTTATTTAAAATCAAAGTGCATCAATAAGTGCAGCATAGTTAGCTCTACAGTTCACATTAAAAATGTTATGTAATATGAGCACCTTTTGTTTTCACAATTGATAAAATTCCACTTGACCAATTTTCCATACTGCTAAACGACACCAGTTATTGCTACTCGACTAATACCTTATTTTTATTTCTTTAATTAAAGAATTATAATTTTTGACTTTTTCCCAATGTATATTGTAGCCAATAGCGTCCCTCTCATAATAACTCAGAATGCTGAGGTTCGAACTATTAGGCGGCCATCTATTATCATCGATGAACTGGATGAAGTTGTTTTTAATCCATGCTAGCGAATCTTTATGTGTGTATGAGCTTGATTATCTTGCGTTAAAATACAAAAAGATTGTCTTTGCGAAGTGAATCATAGACTGATTTCAAAATTAATTATTAGGATCTCCTCTGATTCAGCTAGAGTAGCTGACTAAACCCTATAGCAGGATCTAGATCAGATCCTAGTAAAAACTTGAAAAAATCTTGATAGAATCCTATCTCTTATTCCTGTAAGGATCTTAATTAGGATCGAAAATGAACCCTGGTGGGATCCTACCTTCATAATTTTGAAACAAGGAATGCTTGTTCGTGCAATTTGCGGACCTTCAACTGAGTATCCAGTCTTCTCTGTATAATACACTACTTTACAACCCCAACTAGCAGTAACATTAGTTGGTTGAAAAAGGATAGGTGCGAATGTGGTGCGTACGTCTGTGTCGTTGTACATAAGGATATGCTTGATCGTGTGATTCTTCTTGTCAACAATGCAGTCAATCACATTGATGCCCACACAAATACCAACGTCGAAATCTACATAATCTATACGAACGCAACAGCACCCATACTCTTACAAACATAGATACTGCATCATTATACTTACACCCACACCAAAACTTGACCCCCACAATACCTCCCGAACGTAACACAGAACATATACTCTGAAAAACCGATGGAATGAAAGCAGGATATCGAAAATTTTTGTTTACTTGCAATCCCAGCCATGAAAAACCTCATCAGATGAGAAATTGACAAGCTCCATGAAAAGAATGTAACAGAAAAATAAATCATGAAGCTTGGATGTGGGTGTGGGTATGGGTATAGATCTTGTTTTTTCAAACACGAGCATCCTCACACCCACACCCACACACACCCTCATGTATCTATGATAGATGGCATCGATTAACTTTAACTTTTGTCACTACAGCCTTTAGTAACATCGTGGAGATATTTCTCATTCAGCTTGCTTCTGAGAATAAAAGACTTCTAACGGCTAGCGAGAAAGTCTTCATACAAAGTGTTCGTTTACTTTCCAACTAGATATAATGTACTACTAACAATAAAAAACAGTCGCTTAAAATCACAATTTTCTGTTCTTTCCGAACACATGTTTAGATTTTTTTTCTAATATGTTGTTTATTATTACACTCGGAAACGCTTGCATAGAGATACAGAAATATAAGTTAAAATCACACAATGTAAGAAACTATGATAACATGCGTAAAAATTTCATCGACAGGGTGTGAGCTGTGTCTTCCATTTCTTTACATCCACACTCACACCCTTATAGACGAGACATTTTTACTATGAATTCATACAATAAAACCTTCGATACTAAGTGTTTTATAAAATTTAAAATGCCATGGCCAGAACTTTTGGTATGTTCTAAGTACATGTTATTTCTCTATATAAGCAGGCTTGATAGTGTTCAATATCGTGCACTAAACTATGTTTTTCCAACAGAGCACAAAACACGTTTCTAATATCTCTGTGTATTCATTCTATCTCTTCTCTCGTTTATAATTTATTCTTCGTTTTTCTTTCATTGTTGTAGCTCGGTTTTTGTGCCTTTTTTTTTTTAGTGTATTGCGTCCAAAGCGTTTCATGTCAAATTTATTTTGTTGACTTTTTCGAATTGTTCAAAAATATCTATTGATAAATTAAATATTGATACCAAAATTGAATATTGATCAATGAGATTGTTCAATATAATATTAGTTTAATGCTCTTCCAATGATTAGATCTGACTGGAAATAGCTCCTAGACAATTCTTTTCTGATTTAATATACGACAATATCATGAAATCTTCTTTTTTTAAATCGTGTTCATAAATATTGTTGGTATTCATGAGAAGCCTTCAGAGAAGAATTTGATTTGTTCTTCAATTCGATTTCAAACTACTTCTATACATTCATCTATCCTATTTGAAGCACGATGCTATTTCATTATGTACGTTAGAATGCGAAGAAAAAGGTTCAGACGAAATCGTGATGTGAACACCGGCCAGGTGAGTTGACAGTAACTATCTCTCGTATTCAATGGTAAAGATAGACTAGCTACAGATAAAAGTTAGTGGCAATAGCTGTTACATCATTGAAGCTAACAAATACGCTTTAAATTTGAAGCTTGTAAAATTCGAAATTCTAACGATTATCAAACATTAGTAGAACTTCTCGATCAATTGTGTTCGTTCGTCGATCCGATTCTGAAGTCTGTCACAGGAAGTCTTTGATTGTTTTCATCTGAATAAATAAGACGGCTAATCGAATCTTCACCGTTGAGCTGCATTGGCGGCCTCACTAAGACCGAATTAAGATCCATTCGTCCTGTTTCGCCCATATTTTCAGATGGAGGTGCAACTTCAGCCATGTTTTGAAGTGACACTTGTTCATCCTCGTCAGATTCTTCTTGAGCAATGGGCTCACGACATTCTAAGTCTAAAATCATAGATGAAATTCGATTTTCCTTTTCTAATCACATATCAAGGAAGATGATCGATACACAACAGCTCAAAGTTAATCATACATGTATCGGATGAACTTTTTCATGGTGATATGTCTACTGGTATTAAACTTTTCAGACAACGGTTATCACCGAAGGCTAGCTCAGCAATTGTGATTACTTCTTGCAAACTATCAACTGTGTCTTTTTCAATTTTTGTTTCTTTTCAAGACTCTTGGTCGAAAATATCGAATATCAACAGTTTGAATTATCTTATTTTTCCTAAGAAAATTGAAATGAACCGGTTTTCATAAGCAAAAATGTGACAATGGAGATGATAGTTTCTGGAGAGTAACCAGAAGTGCTGAAATTGCTATATGAAATATCGAATAGAAACAGACCAATAATCGTAAAAAATTCATCCATCAGATGTATTATTCAAATTTGAGCATCAGTGCAGGTGTAGACCAATAATTCAATGATTAGTAGCTTATTTTGTTTCATATACCTATAGTGCTTAAAAACTCACACTGGTACGTACCTTCCTGATCAAGCGGCTCCGCAGTTCCGAATAAGACTTCTAAAATATAGTTCAAAATATGAGTAGCATATTGTGTTAAGTATGTAATATCAAAATTATCTTACCGAGACCAATAGGATGTGTATAGAGTATTTCCCAAAGTAAGAAGGACTCGTACGACTGATGTCCTTGATCTAAATCGGAAAATCTCAATGAGTATTGATTATATGGGAATAGAAGAATTGACTAATTGCTCGGATTTTAAAGCTATCAAGTTCATATTATCTCATTTGAAAGAAAATATAAAAAGATTACATAGTGTTCGAAATACGATGAAATAGCCATGTTCAATATTTCAAGAACTATATTATCATATTTAAATGTTGTTCTGTTACATATGCTGATAATATCAGATAATCATCTTACCCCATTTTTTTAATGACCGTTCAAGATTGCTGAAATCGATACGAGGCAAGAATATAATATTCACTAGAACTCCAATGATCAAACGAAGAACAGAAGAATGGATTCCGATAAAAGAATCTAAAAACGTCGACAATATCATACTTATTACATAACTCATTATTGTAGATAAATGACTCACTGAAAATGTTAGCGAAATACGCTGGAATTGGATGAGGTATTTTCGATCTTGAAGCGATTCTATGTTTTGGATGATAATCAGTGAATGTTGTATCGATCAGTCTGATAATAACTTTTTGTAATCCATACAAGACTAACACCGGTATAATGAACCCGTATGCCCATTCAAGAGAGCCGATTCGAGTCAGAATTACACGTAATATGGTAACGATGAATAGAATCAAATGGAAACAGATGATGAAACCTCCAATCAGATATCGAACAACAAAACCACGATATTGACTTCCTTTTGAAACAATATCAAACTTCTTAAGCTTAGCATCCAATTTTTTCATCTTGGCAAGTTTGTATAATGTTCTTATATCTTTTCTATAATATTTAATACCAATGAATAGTTGAATGCCAAATATGATCATTGTAATAATCCCACTAAAAATAGCTTCATATTGAAATGACCATTCTTTGACTTCTGCAAAATGAATAGGAAAAAAAAATTCACAATCAATCAAATGATATTCAATCAACATACCAATATTCAACATCGATTCAAATATATCTTTTAGAACGGCAATATAACTTGTTTTTTGTGTTGTATAGAGAAAGATTAAAGTGCATGTTAGATGGAAAAGAACAATGAATGCCTCTGTATATGTACAAAGAACAATTGTAATAAATCGAAAATCATCTTCCCATTTATAGATTCGATCAGAAATATTTTGAACAATTTGCGTAGCCGGTTTTTGAATACCAGAACAACATCCTTGTCGATCTTCATCATCACTCTCCAAGGTCTTACATTTTCTATTTGTCTCGTTCTCCGAAGTTTCAACATCATCTCCTCTACTATTATCTCGTAGGAAAGAAAATTCATTTATTTTAATATTTGGCGAAATTGACATGCTTCCGGTCTTATAAAATGTATGAATTGACTGAAAAAAGCGTACAGTCAACTTTGCACCAATATATCCAAGTAATAAACAATGTAGCGCATGTTTAGCAAAGCCATATACAATGGACCAATCCTGAAGATCCTACAATGATTTTTTTTGTCTCTCATTATAATATGACAGATCTCGATAAAGAAATGATTAAACATACCATATGAAGATATGCCTGTTCCAAAGATGACAGTTTTTTCGAAAAAGGCAAATAAGTCATGCATGAGTTTTCACGCCAAATCATGTATACCATATTGCTTATGAAATAAACCCAAGCTAAGAAACGAACGATGATATGATGTACTTGTAAAGAAGCAAGTATTGGATAGTATCGAAACCTGAAGTGATTTACGTAATTTATTATAGATAAAATAATGGAAAACAAACGAGAACATACCCAATAAAAAGAACTATTAAAATACGCTTGAAAATTTCGATAAATACACCAGAATCGGATGATTCATTGATATCAATTAAAATTTCTTCTAAAATTTTCAATATTTCCATTGTTTGAATACCAGTTATCGCCGCTGTCATATATCGATCAGTGATGAGAAACGGTCTCATTGGTGGTAATAAGCCTAGGCAAAAAAAAACACTTGATCGTACTAAGAAAAAATAGAAAATAAAAAAAAAAGAGAGAGTACTCAATCGACTGCAGTAACTGGTTTGATTTTGTGTTTTTTCTTCGTTAAAACACGTGAAGATGATAATGAGTATGATTGAAATGAGTAAGTAGCCGAAATTAGCCAATTGAAAAGTAGTTTTGGTTCCACATTGTGTTATCATGAGAATATTGTGATTGATAAGCGAGTCAAGTTGAGATGAATTGGTATTGCCAAATTGAAATTTTGCTAAATGACGAACGGCTGGAATAACAGAGAGAATCAAGAAAAAAACACAAGTCAAGATCGCCACCCAAAATAAACGGATGAATGATGCTGTTGTCAATAAATGCCATGAATTGTATTTGACAGATGTTGTCTCATCAACATCCTCTGCAGAAGGTCTAAACAGTGCATTTCTATCTACTTATATCACGTTCAAAATCTTTAAAACTGTTTATGGAAGATCTGTGCAGTAAGTATTTTGTCTTCTGAGTAGATGAAAAAGGTAATATTGCAAAGTTTTGAAAAAAAAACCCAAGAATTCAAAGAGACAATATTGAAATATAAACTTTAAAAAATTCAATCTCAAATGTGTGACATATGTAATCATTAATCGATGGATATGAATGTTTTCCTCGAAGACGAAATATGAGCACAGGAAGAACATTAGGGAAACAGACTTGACTAGTTCATTTCTTGGTATTCTTGCTATCAGTAGAAGAAATCCTTTCAGATACTCGTGGAGATCTATGTTTTTTGTGCCAAATCTTTGTTGCATGGTAAAAGTCATTTTCTATTGTGTAGATTTTGCTTCATAATCATTCATAGAGAATCAATTATGATAGTTTCGAATTTAACAGTTATCGGTTGACATTAATTCTATTTTTATTCTATAAAAATAAACCTCCGCCATGTTCGAGAGCATTTCTCTTTGTCTAAATAAAAAAAAAGCTTTCAACCTACTGCTCCATTGCTCCTGTTGTTTCGGCCGGCTCATTGCCATATTTTTCGATGTCTTGCAGTTTTGGTGATCTTGTCGGTTGTCGATTCAAGCAACTAATACAATTTAAATAATGATAATCCCAATAAGAACAATTCAAAAACTCACTTAATAATCCATCGAACAGCAGACCGAATAGACTTTCGTATTTGACGACTCGTGAATAAACAGACAATTATAATAATTGGAACAGCAATCAGAATCTGTATGTTGTTGGTTGTATCTGAAAAATATCGATCGATACAGAGTTCGAATCTTGAAGGAAATCAAATTATCGCTTACATTTGTCGCAAAAGACACCACCATAGAATAGCGAACATGAACATTTGAAACCCGTTAAAGTATTAAGACAACGTCCGTTCTTGCCACACAGCATATTATCAAAACAAAAGTCAAGTGCTAGATTTAATGACAAAAATAGAAACGTTTGAGTTTGTTCAATATAAAACAAATGACTACTGACCATATTGACACATGTGTGAGTAAGTTCTCGTCGGCACAATATCGTTCAGTGAACAAATAGTTTTGCCTGAATTCAAGAAAGTGCTGATTTCGAAAATGTTTGAATCACTGTTGACAATATTCAACTGTACTTGATGACAAGTACTAAGAACTTGATCAAGATTTTTCAACTCGTCATGATTATTGGATATATCGACATTATCTTCTTGACGATTATCCTGTTTGTCTCTGGCTAAATTCGTAGATTGCCATTTCATCTGTTCGTCAACATTACTATTAATTCGATTATTATCATAAGATATATCTTTGTGTGTTGTATGTTCAAATGATTCCATTTTCAATTTGTTATATTTAAAACGAACTTGATGAATCTTTTTCTCGGATTCATACCATTGAACATGATCGTCTTGAGATAGTTTATTAGTAACTTTTGCATCTAATATCAAAATATAGATTTGTGTGAGATTAAAATAATCAGTATTTTCAAAACGCACTGATCAATATTCAATAGTTACATTATGTAAAGTATCATCTGACTTACCTTGAAGTAAGTGTCGATCGATTTCAATCATTAATGTATCGAGATGATTGACTTTGAGTATATGTACGGCATAGAAAAGTTCGGCAGAATGTCGAATATACATCAATTGTGTATTCGAATGAAGAAGACTACATGTATAATTGGCGTCTATGGACATTGAGGTCACATTGGGCAGATAGTAACATGAACGGCCAAATTGTTGCCATTTTTTCGGACATTGAATTCGATTTTCTTGTGTATTGTGATTCAAAAATCCTGGATAAAAAGACCTACCAGTCTCTTCATTTTTGTCAACAATCGAAAAAAGTTTCTTGAATAGTAACAATCGGTCAGTAGGATTGAGACTTTGTTGAATATTCGACAAAGCGCACCGCGATCGTTTTACATTGAATATAACGACGGCAATAAGTGACAGGACGATAAAAGAAGACAGCCGACTCATGTTAACTCAGTAATAGAGCCCAGTTATTGCTATTATTCAGTCAAAAATCGTCGATATATGATTGATACACCTAAAAGAAAACAATAGAGAATAATTATGAATAACTCACAATCTCCTATCATAATCATCCTTCAATAATAGAGTGTGGATGCGAGTGTGATTGAACAGAAAACTCATGCTCATATCCACATCCTTTTTTAAACAACCTTAAGGATTAAGTGATGAACTTCAATTGAATTGAAAATTAAGGTAAATGAGTCATTCTAGACTTGCGTCTGACAGAGTTTTCTCCTTACCGGTACCAATCTAAACCAGCCGAAGGATCGACATGAATGAATCACGGCAGTATTGACATAAGACTTATGTTTCACTACTATAACTCTTTTCATTATTTATTTCTATTAGCTTTCTCTCTTAGTATCTATTGATGAAGAGAAAAGTTTACTGCGACTACAAATTCTGTGTTAACTTTACACATTGATTAACTATGCTTTCGATCTAAGGATTGTTAACATTCTATGTATGTACTGTTTTTGTGAAATACGATCTGAAAGGAGTATTGAAGAATATGAGGTAGAAATTTATATTCCCTTCCTCCTCCTCACAGACCGTGACAGACATTTTATTTAATTAAGTAATTAATATGTAATTGACAGCTAGTTAATGACTTATTAATTGGCAATTAGTAGTTAATTATGGCTAATTAACAATTAATTAATAGTTAACTAATAACCCCTTGAAAAATGATGATTAAGAGAGCCTGGGATCCCATAAGACGTTTTTGATATAGGATAAAAGACAGTAAATTAATAATGCCTTATTATAATATGTGAACTGCTTCCTGGCTACACTACTGGAGGAATAAGTAATAGGATGATGTAGAAATGCACTATGAAAGAGGTAGTTTAAAGCAATCTCCCAGTGATTACTAAGAGCAGCAACATCATGTTTCATATTTTAATCTCGCTAGGTGGTAAAAAATAAACTAAGTGTATTATGATTCATTTTCACCACATAGAAATACTCTGATACGTGTTCTCTCACAGAGATACCTTTCAACAAAAATGAAAAGTGTTTAACTTGCCAAAAGAATACTTCTATGATCAATTCTTTTGGAATAAAAAAACCATGCAAAAACTCAAAAAGAAACTAGATCAGCCGTTGATTATTGCATATTAGAATTCTAGTTCATTCCTACAACAGAATTATAATCGAACTCGATAGCTTCCATTATTTCTATATACAAATTTCTTGCCGATAATTCAATGAAATATTTGATTTGATACTTCATACGAAAGGCATACTGTGGAGAATGATGAGTTATACAAATAGAAGAAAAAACAAAATGAATGACAATCATGTTTTTTTTTAATTTTTGATAGGAACAGCAAAGAAAAGAGGAAAGAAAAAACCTTGTTGGTCTCGAATAAATGTGCGTAACTTACAGTTTCTACACATTTTTTTAAAAATATTTTTTCATGCATGATTGGTTAGAGCACATTAAGTTATTTCCTAACCTTTTCAATAAATATGTGATGAAATAATAAAAACAGTCCTTATATTTAGAGATTTCAACAATCAAAAATTGAAAAATGTGAAAAAGAAATATGATATTCAGGATCAGCTTAAGAAATTGAGTCAAAAACCATAGATTTCATTACAAAATATTTTTCATCAAAATCTCATCTCTATTCTATCATTGGCTCGTTTCTATTTATTCCATCTATGGTCCTGCTTAGACGAAATTTCTATGAAAAATATTTTGTAATCAAATGTACGGTTTTTAGTCCAAAGTTTTATGTTGATTTGGAATATCATATTTCTTTTTCTCATTTTTCAATTTTTGACGATCGAAATTTTTAAACACGAAGGCAATTTTTAGTGTTGCGCCATTGTTATTTAAAAAAATTTCCTTTCTCAGCCACGAATCAAAGCAAAAGAAAAAGACTTCTTGACTTTTTTCAGACAGGCAAGATATCTAGAATCATATTAGAAAAGTAGAGAAATCTTCGAATGTAAAAAAGTTAATTCCTTTTGGAAAATTGGATGATGTCATTTTTTTAGTCAATTATATGTAACGAAATGGAAAAAGTATTTGTACAATTGCATAGAATGAAAAAATTATAATATTCACTTTAGTATGAAAAATTAACGTATTTTGTAATGAAATGTAAAATCCAAGATTTTTTTAGATGTTTTTGAACAAAAAACTCCAAAATGAAATTATGCAACAGCAAGAGGATGACTAAGGACAAGATATCCTCTAAATCTTTTCTGAAAAATATTATTTATTGCATATTCAATAGACAAAATTGTCATGTATAGTACTGTGTTTGCCAGTTTTTATTCGAAAG